AACAACCACCAACAACACTCACAGGACCAGAACAACCACCAACAACACTCACAGGACCACAACAACCACCAACAACACTCACAGGACCACAACAACCACCAACAACACTCACAGGACCACAACAACCACCAACAACACTCACAGGACCACAACAACCACCAACAACACTCACAGGACCAGAACAACCACCAACAACACTCACAGGACCACAACAACCACCAACAACACTCACAGGACCACAACAACCACCAACAACACTCACAGGACCACAACAACCACCAACAACGCTCACAGGACCACAACAACCACCAACAACACTCACAGGACCACAACAACCACCAACAACACTCACAGGACCACAACAACCACCAACAACACTCACAGGACCACAACAACCACCAACAACACTCACAGGACCACAACAACCACCAGCAACACTCACAGGACCACAACAACCACCAACAACACTCAGAGGACCACAAGTACCACCAACAACACTCACAGGACCACAACAACCACCAACAACACTGGAAAAACTTCTCCGCCTCTTTGGTCTGACTTAAATACTGCAAAGGAAAACGCCATAATTAAAGGGTAACTCGAGGAAATAAGAAGGGGGTCTTGGAGGGCTGATGGTCGTGGGGGGAATGAGAGTCGTGAGGGGGGAAATGGGGGTCGTGAGGGGGGAAATGGGGGTCGTGAGGGGGGAAATGGGGGTCGTGAGGGGGGAAGGGAGGTCGTGGGGGGGGAAGGGGGTCGTGGGGGGCGATGACAAAGACTGTAAGAAGAACCAAGACGTAGAAAGAGAGAGAGAGAAAAAGCGGAGGAGATAATTAATAAGAGTCCGGGGAGGAAGGAGTGTGCAGGAGGCGTCAGGAGTAATGGAGGTTTAACAGGAGGAGAGGAATCCTGTTAAACAGCTGGCGAGGCCCTTAAGGGGTAGGAGAGCCCTTGAGGGAGTGAGAGAGCCCTTAAGGGTGGGGAAGATCCATTTGGGGTGGGAGTGCACTTAAGGCTGGGAAACTTAAGGGTGCGATAGTCTTAGGGGTGTGAGAGACCTTAGATAAAGAGTGGTAATTAAGCCCCTCAATAAAGGTGAGAAAGCCCTTGATAAGGGTGAGAGAACCCCTAAACTAAGGTTGGAAAGCCCCTAAGGGTGGAAAAGCCCCCTTGAGTAAGGGTGGAAGGCTCCTTGAGATTGAGAGCCTTAAGGGTGAGAAAGCCCTTGAGTATGGTTGATACCTGCTTGACACCTGCTTGGTGAGGTTCTGGGAGTTCTTCTACTCCCCAAGACCGGCCAGAGGCCAGACTTATGAGAGTTTGGTCCACCAGGCTGTTGCTTGGAGCGGCCCGCAGGCCCACATATCCACCACAGCCCGGTTGGTCCGGCACTCCTTGAAGAAAACTATCTTATTTTCTCGTGAAGATGTCCACAGTTGTTCCAGGTTGGAAGGGATCTTATATATATATATATAAACATCACTTACGTCCTCTTGTTTTTCAACCTTACAGTTTCAACATACTTTGTATGTAGTTATCATATCTCCGCTGCACCTTCTTTCATTTAAGGCTGAGATAGAGTTCCTCTACCTTGGGCCCCTCCTGATTCAACCAATGGTCTTGCTGCAAACTATTTTTGTTTTCCTGCTTCAAGATGATTGGGTTTAAGGGAAGTGTTGAGTGATTTAGTATTGACTAAATATCGTTCTTGTGTTGGCCAGCTTTCCATATGCCGCTGATGGTATTCTCTTTATATGTGCATCTGGCGAGAGTGTTGGTAAAATATCCGAGCCTGTCTGTGTCTCTGAATATCTGCCAGTACCTGTCTGTCTGTCTCTCTGTCTCTCTCTCCGGTTCTTACCCTTGTTTTTCCTCTCTTTTGGTTGTAGATTCCGTCAGGTTTCCCCGTCTACCTTTCCCCCATCTTCGTTACCTTATAGGTAATGTAGTCGTGACCCCCACACTCCACACTACCTCAGAGGTAAAGGTGTGGAGTGTTGCAGTGTGTCAAGGTCCCTTGGAACGCCGTACACAGGGCTCCTCGGTGGCAATATTGCTCATGCATCTTGCGTTCTCAGCCACCACAGACATGCCCCACCTCACTCACTCCCCTCATTTCTAAGTGCAAGGGCAGGGGGGGGGGGGGAGAGTAAAGGGGAGAGAGAGGGGAAAGAGAGAGTGTATGTACGAGGAAGAGAAAGTGGGTGTAGGGGTAGTGTAGTACTCACCTAGTTGTGTTTGCGGGGGTTGAGCTCTGGCTCTTTGGTCCCGCCTCTCAACCGTCAATCAACAGGTGTACAGATTCCTGAGCCTATCGGGCTCTGTCATATCTACACTTGAAACTGTGTATGGAGTCAGCCTCCACCACATCACCCCCTAATGCATTCCATTTGTCAACCACTCTGACACTAAAAAAGTTCTTTCTAATATCTCTGTGGCTTATTTGGGCACTCAGTTTCCACCTGGGTCACCTAGTGTGTGTGTGTGTGTGGTGTGTGTGTGTGTGTGTGTGTGTGTGTGTGTGTGTGTAGGGGAAAAGAAAGTGTGTATAGGGGGGAAAGTGTGTGTGTGTGTGTGTATTAATGATTCAGACAAAAATGGTATACTATAAAATACTGAATAGAACCTAACCTAAGCTGTCCAATCAACCCTACCTTTAATACACGCTATCTTAGGCCTAATACAAAAATATGCTGTACTAGGCCCACGAATGTTTTTGTTTAGTATTGGTTTATTTGTTGCTATTTTTTTGGTTATAAAATGAAAACTATAAATCGTCAAAATTGTTATCTGCAACAGTCCACCTTTTGTACGTACGAGCAATTAGTTGACACAAGCACGACGATTGCCTGTGAAACCAGTTGCATTTTGACTTTTTTTTTTTTGAGATATATACAAGAGTTGTAACATTCTTGTACAGCCACTAGTACGCGTAGCGTTTCGGGCAAGTCCTTAATCCTATGGTCCCTGGAATACGATCCCCTGCCGCGAAGAATCGTTTTTTCATCCAAGTACACATTTTACTGTTGCGTTAAACAGAGGCTACAGTTAAGGAATTGCGCCCAGTAAATCCTCCCCGGCCAGGATACGAACCCATGACATAGCGCTCGCGGAACGCCAGGCGAGTGTCTTACCACTGCACCACGGCGACTGCCCAAACGTTAAGGCAGACCCCTCACAGTGTTCAAGAGAGAGAACTAGATAAGCACCTCGAAAGGATACCTGATCAACCAGGCTGTGACTCGTACGTCAGGCTGCGAGCAGCCGCGTCCAACAGCCTGGTTGATCAGTCCAGCAACCAGGAGGCCTGGTCGACGACCGAGCCGCGGGGACGCTAAGCCCCGGAAGCACCTCAAGGTAACCTCAAAGTAAGGTTGCTACTGGAAGAAATTCGGTGTATCAAGTGGTCTATTCTGCTTGTGATGAGTTGATAAGCCCTGAGAACTGTGTGTGATATTGTAGTCAACTCTGGGTTTTGCTCTCTGTCATTTCTCAAATATTTGGCTTTTTTTTTAGGCCAATTGCTTAAGTGTTTAAGAAACAAAATATCCTAATTATTACGGTGTTCAAAGGAGAATTGATAAAACACCTTTAAATGATACCTGATCAACCAGGCTGTGGCTCATACGTCAAACTGCGAACAGCGGGGTCTACACAACAGTCTGATTGACCAGACCACCAACCAGAAGGCTTGGTCAAAGACCGGGCCGAGAGGACATATATCGATCCCCGGAACCATTACAAGATAAGGGAGCCGGTCGGCCGAGCGGAGAGCACGCTGGACTTGTGATCCTGTGGTCCTGGGTTCGATCCCAGGCGCCGGCGAGAAACAATGGGCAGAGTTTCTTTCACCCTATGCCCCTGTTACCTAGCAGTAAATAGGTACCTGGGTGTTAGTCAGCTGTCACGGGCTGCTTCCTGGGGGTGGAGGCCTGGTCGAGGACCGGGCCGCGGGGACACTAAAGCCCCGAAATCATCTCAAGATAACCTCAAGATAACATTGCGGTATCCCTGATTAGTTCTCCACTGTTCACGAAGAACAAATCAAGATTAATATACTGTTTTTAGTTATCTTTAATATCTGTTGAACGGGATCTTGTCACAAAAGTATATTAAATTCCAGCTCCGTCCTTGACAGTTATGCTAATGTAAATATTATCAGCTGGGATTTTTTCTCTTCAGATTTGGGAAGTTGAAGTCTCTCATGATAAGGATATTCGTTATCTGTTCAGGGAATATTTCCACTGTTGCCCCGGTAAACTTGTTACCGGGGCAACAGATATAAAATACCAAAGATATAAAAATACCAAAGAAAGGGGCAGAGATACTAAGATAAATAGAGACATTAACAGAGAGAGAGAGAGAGAGAAGAGAGAGAGAGAGAGAGAGAGAGAGAGAGAGAGAGAGAGAGAGAGAGAGAGAGAGAGAGAGAGAGAGAGAGAGAGAGAGAGAGAGAGTGAGAGAGACACACACACACAAGAGCTGGGTAGACCTAAGTACCGGTATATGGAACATGCATCAACAAGAGACCAGCAATATACTTAATAAGAGCTTGTAACATTGTCTCTCCCGCCTAGTGCGTTACGCGACTCAATCACCGCATTAGCAATGGCACTCTCTTGCTTAAAGATATCAACTCAAGTGTATTTTGAATAATACTTTTGGTGTAAATATATGACCATATCTATGAGTTTTTAATACTTCTGTGTAATATGACCATATTAATGAATTTTTAATACTTTTGTGTAAATATATGACCATATTAATGAGTTTTTAATAATTTTTTTGTGTAAATATATGACCATATTTATGAGTTTAATACTTTTGTGTAAATATATGACCATATCAATAAAAGTTTCAATCCTTTTTGTGCAAAAAATAGAACCTTTTTTAATGAAAGTTTCAAATACTTTTTTTTGGTGTAAATATATATATGATCATAGAAATAAATGTTTCAATATTTTCTCAATTACTTTCCGCATCATACGGAGTCAAGTTACCTTATGATAATTCCGGGGTTTACCATCCCCGCGACCCGGTGTCTGACCAGGCTGTTGGTGCTTGCAGCTCGCGGTCTGTGGAGAAAAATACCGTTCAAGGACGAGCCTATATTCACAAACGTTCGCTCAGTGAGCTTTATAAAGTCTAGTGATATTTTGTTTACAGAAATTTAGAACAGCTGAGGAGACATGGAAGGTTTTGGGAGTGTGGAGCAACAGCTGAGGAAACATGGAAGGTTTTGGGAGTGTGGAGCAACAGCTGAGAAAACATGGAAGGTTTTGGGAGTGTGTGGAGCAACAGCTGAGGAAACATGGAAGGTTTTGGGAGTGTGGAGCAACAGCTGAGGAAACATGGAAGGTTTGGGAGTGTGGAGCAACAGCTGAGAAAACATGGAAGGTTTGGGAGTGTGGAGCAACAGCTGAGAAAACATGGAAGGTTTTGGGAGTGTGTGGAGCAACAGCTGAGGAAACATGGAAGGTTTGGGAGTGTGGAGCAACAGCTGAGAAAACATGGAAGGTTTTGGGAGTGTGTGGAGCAACAGCTGAGAAAACATGGATGGTTTGGGACTGTGGAGCAACAGCTGAGGAAACATGGAAGGTTTTGGGAGTGTGTGGAGCAACAGCTGAGGAAACATGGAAGGTTTTGGGAGTGTGGAGCAACAGCTGAGAAAACATGGATGGTTTTGGGAGTGTGTGGAGCAACAGCTGAGGAAACATGGATGGTTTTGGGAGTGTGTGGAGGCAACAGCTGAGGAAACATGGATGGTTTTGGGAGTGTGGAGCAACAGCTGAGAAAACATGGAAGGTTTGGGAGTGTGGAGCAACAGCTGAGGAAACATGGAAGGTTTTGGGAGTGTGTGGAGCAACAGCTGAGGAAACATGGAAGGTTTTGGGAGTGTGTGGAGCAACAGCTGAGGAAACATGGAAGGTTTTGGGAGTGTGGAGCAACAGCTGAGAAAACATGGAAGGTTTTGGGAGTGTGTGGAGCAACAGCTGAGGAAACATGGAAGGTTTTGGGAGTGTGTGGAGCAACAGCTGAGGAAACATGGAAGGTTTTGGGAGTGTGGAGCAACAGCTGAGAAAACATGGAAGGTTTTGGGAGTGTGTGGAGCAACAGCTGAGGAAACATGGATGGTTTTGGGAGTGTGTGGAGCAACAGCTGAGGAAACATGGATGGTTTTGGGAGTGTGTGGAGCAACAGCTGAGGAAACATGGAAGGTTTTGGGAGTGTGTGGAGCAACAGCTGAGGAAACATGGAAGGTTTTGGGAGTGTATGGAGCAACAGCTGAGGAAACATGGATGGTTTTGGGAGTGTATGGAGCAACAGCTGAGGAAACATGGAAGGTTTTGGGAGTGTATGGAGCAACAGCTGAGGAAACATGGAAGGTTTTGGGAGTGTATGGAGCAACAGCTGAGGAAACATGGATGGTTTTTGGGAGTGTATGGAGCAACAGCTGAGGAAACATGGAAGGTTT